AGCTGAGAGAGATACATGTACAACATCCGAGCAGAAAGACCGAGATACTCAACTAAAAATGTTTCCCACTTGAGAAGTAAACTCGGGTCTCCTGCGAGCGACTAAGAAGCCTCTAACCGCTACACCCACACGCTAATGAACTTGATGGTTACTGAAAAAATTAAACATGCTTGATTTTTAGGATCGGATCAAATTGATATTGTAACTACACCCCCCCCCCCACTATGATGGGAAAATGGGAAACTTGGTTGCACACAAACGGATAAAACCAAACAAAATACACTTGTAGATATTTGATGAACTTAAGAGCAATGTTAGTCTATTGTTCTTTGTGATATATTATGTCTGTATGGCCAAGAATCCCTACCGCCCGGGGTGGGGGTGGGAGAGGGGGTGGGGGGAGTGCCACTGACTAAAGTGTCTTTAGGCCATTTCCAAAAAGGGGACATTTCTCGTTCTGATGCACAGAAGAATTGTAAATGGACTGATCCATCAATGTCACGCTCATAACTGTGCCTGATCTACAACAGGGAACTGCTGCTTTTTCTTTCCCAATCCTTACTACTGACATTTTTTCCTCTACCTTTTTTGTATGTTTGTCGCTCTCTTGTGACCTGCTATTTCCGGAGTGCCTTGATAGTCGAAGCAGACTTTGTGCTGTTGAAGCTGGAGAAGTGAGCAGAGTAAGTCTGATTCCCTGTAAGGACTTCTCTGTTGACATCCACCCTTTGGCGCTCATATGACCTTATGCAGTTGCGAGCGCCGTAAAACCTCTACTAAAACTAAAACTCAGGTCTCCTGCGTGCGACAGTGAAACGTCTAACCGTAACACCCACACGCTAGTGACTTGATGGTTACTGGAAAATCAAGCATGCCTGATTTTTAGGATCGGATCAAATTGTCACAAAATGATATTGTAAAATTGTAACTACCCCCGTCCTCCTATGGTGGGAAATTTGGTTGCACTCAAACGGATCAAAATACACTAGTAGATAATTTGATGAACGTAAC